TGAGGGCTCTTTAGTGAAGTTGAACTTGTGCATGTGCAAGAAACGTGTTTTATTGAAAAAACTCTTAAAAATGTTTGAGTTCATGAAATCTTTGTCCGATAACCAAATATCCAGTAGGATTTCAAGGCCATTCTCCGTATCAACTCTTGCTAGGTATTTCTGGAAAACTAAGGGTTTATAGGACCCCTGCAATCATAGCACTGGAGTCTGGGGCTGCACTACCTGATACAGTAGCTGCTAGCCACGTGTGGCTGTTTAATTTAATTTAATTTAATTTAATTTAATTTAATTTATTTTTCTCCTTTTTGTGACCAGTAAGGGGATCGCAACCCTTGGCTCGGTGTTGCCCGCACCTCGCTCAGTCAGTGAGCGCACCGGCCATCCCTATATAGGATCCGAACCCGCGGCGGGAGTGCACCTCACCCGAGTGCACCACGGGGTCAGCCCGTAATTTTAAACTAATTAAATTAAATAAAATTTAAGGTCCAGTTTCTCAGTTGCACTAGCCACATTTGAAGTGCTCAGTAGTCCTGTGTTACAAGTGGCTACAGTATTGCACAACAGATATTGGAATATTTTCATCAGCACAGAAAGTTCTAGAGGACAGCACTGCTCTAGAATGGTAAGCCCCCAAGAGAGGAACAGCCTTATTCACCACCAAATTCCTAGCACATAAATACAATGTATAGCTCATAACAGGTGCTCAAAACATACATGTTGAAAAAAGGAATCACTGAACTCTGTGTTAAATGCTAACTCATAAACGTTTTATTTTGATAATGTTTTCAAATAAGATATTCACATCAATGAATGACTCTGTGAATTTTTTGGGGGGGTGGTCTGGGGTCAGACCCAATTAACTCGAAAGCCAAGCTTTGGGCTTTTTTAATGTAAACTGTTTTCTCAACAAGTAACAGGTTTCTCTGGAGTAGTCAATACACGTGGGAGCCGTTATGGGGACACAAAGGAAATATAGGGTCTAAAACTTTCTAACGAAGAACTTACCGCATGGTGAGGAAGAGAAAAACAGGCATA